TCACATAGTATGTCCGGTCCACCTGGTCTTTGGTGTCTTGGCGTAACCAACGGCATCCCTGATCTTTGTTCGTTTACAGAGTCTAGAGCTCCTGATTCCCATCCGCAATTGCGTGTATAGGGTAATTCTGAGCATTGGCCTTTCCAAAGCGAGTTGAGTGGCGCTGACAGCATCCTGCTTTCGTAGATTCCAGGTCTCCGAGACGTACGTCAAAGCACAAAGCAGTGTCGAAAAGGTAAGCGCGGAGCCGGATGTCCTAGTCTCCACTACTCCCTCGATATTCTTAAATTACCCACGCGGCGCTTTTCCACGTCGCGCGTCATTTTGCGCAGCTCCGGAGTTAGGTCGTTAATCAAGTTGACTTCCCGATCTAGATACATGTACCCAAAGCATTCGGAGATATTCGTTCCGTTAATCGTAAAAAAGCATCAGTTACTGATTCTTTTCACATGAAGATCGTCTGCGTTGCGTTCAGTATTAAGCCGATTTTGGAGCGTTGTCGAATTCAGCCAGTATTCGCACCCAATGCTCGATGTTCGGTGTTATAAGATCGATGTCGCCTGCAAAGCGGACGTTATGTGGGTATCGGCCATCGACCTTCACTTCCAGGTCTTCCCATTCCAAATGACGCATGATTTCGAGAGCGGCACTGAAAAGTTTTGGCGAAATTGTATCGCCCTGCCAAACCACTCGCTTCACGTTGAAAATGGCTTCCTGTAGAATGGCGAAATCCTGGTCGTGAAGTTGTCGCAAAGCACACCTTATGTATTGAGCAGGAACACTCTGGTTGCCGAGAACTTCGATAACCGCTTCCGTCTCAACAGTATCGAAGCACTTTTTAAGATCAGATATCGGGATGCTCTATTCACGCGATACCTCGACGCGATGGCATATCGAATATCGGAAGGGAGAGCCAAAGGAGCGATATACTCGTCTTGCCCAAAATGGTTGGTAGGTTTGCAGAAGTGGCTGTCGAAGAGATACAAATAGAAGTCGTAGGTGACCTTCTCCATTGTCCGTCGAGATGCAGCAAGTGTTCATTCAGGACGACGAAGGGAAGTCAGCTTGGTCTTATAAATGATAAAGCTCCGGCGAGCTTCGCGAATGCTCTTTTCAACCTCGGCGGCTTCAGTCAAAGCTGCTGCTCTTCTCTCTTTCAGATTTTCTTTTATTGCTTCTCTGCACAGCTTCGCAAGTTCGGACGAATATTGATGTTGTTGATGTGATGTTTGTGCGTGGACAAGGAAGGTTGTCAGAGCTGAGGTTGAGCAACTCCCTCTCAGCAGCAAACGTTCGATTCGGCGGTGGAGCTTTCGCACGACCAACCTTCCGAACGTCAAGGAATCGAGGATCAGGAGGGCCGGCCATGATCAGACTGCTTCACGGAAACATTGAACGGAAATAATGCTGTGCCTCGTGTCCCTTGAACGAGGACAATCCACTAAACTAAAATTGATGTGCAGGTCTGAACAAAGCTGCATTTTGCCGAAAATCTAGCCTGGAGTTCTATCAGGTGTACCATATTATAAGGTACTTTTCCAGCATTATATTTTTGACGAGTAATGATAGAAATAGTCTAGAGCAGTGCGGAATAGTCGACGAAACCGCGAAAATCATCGTGTTCGGTAGAATGTATGGCTCGAAAAAGAAGTAAAGTAGGGGTCGGATGAGAATTTTTCGACAGAAGTTGCATGGAAGCGGTACTCGACCGAGCTGTCCAAATGTGTGCGCCATTGCGTACAGTTGGCTACAGTGTCTGCATTCCTGCAATCTGCGCGTCGCGGTGCGAATGGTGGAAGCTCTACAACCTCTATAACGCTGTGAGAACTCGCCTGCCTTGGGTGTGCACTTTTCGCTGAACCGGTTTTGGGGTCTTGTTTCGCCCAATCTTTGCTGTTTTTCGGTCCGATAGCGGCTCTTAGGCTAATATTGGGGTCACAGGTTCATGAAAGGGATAAAGTGACAAGTAATGATAGTTAACTAATTAGGTTGCTCGGAGAATGATTACAATCTTGAGAACCGTTTTTTCAGACTTCTGTTCGAAAAAACGGTTCTGAAAATTGCTTTCCAGAAGTTTGGTTGTTTTTTTCCCACAGGGTGACCCACATGAAGTGCGATGTGCTAAAGAAAATCATTTTCTGGACATCTTGCTTCTTTCTTTCGCTACATTATGAAATTACTCGATTATTATTTTTTGAATATGTTGTATACAGTTCCCTCTGCTATTCCTTGATTAAGACAGTATCGCCTAAAGATCGTTAATCAGAGTCGCTATGTTTAGAAGCGATTTGTCAGTTTCGGGATTCTGAAGACCTTAAAACTTTATCGAGAGCAAGTGCACTGCGTCATTAAGCGACTGAAGAGACTAGGGAAATTGAAAACTGTACAATGGGAAAACCAAAAATAACTGCTAGAACCTAAGCCTTCGGAAAAGCCGTCAAAGGCAAACTATGCCCAGGTTCTTGAAGAAGCATGAGGAGCTCACCTAAGGATCACAATGTAAGCAAATTACCTATGCAACCGCTGGTCAAGGAGAACATCAAGTCATATTCAAATAGATTCGCGAAAGGGCAATGTCTTGTCGGCGAAATGAAGGCCTCAAGATTGAAGAATGCAGGAAGACGGAGGCCCTTGCGCGCGGTGAAAAGGTTGGGCCAATACTCCTTACAAAAGAGACGATATTCGCTATAAAAGCGTTCTGAAACGCGCAGAATCGACGGATACTGCTAGCGAAACGATCTCCAAATATAGTCGAGGTCGAAAAATAGAATTTTTAAAATTTTCGTAACGTTTGAACAGAGGTGAATGTTTCCTATTTGGTTTGATTTGCATGGTTTTATTATCAGCTCTTTGTGTCACACTTCATATGGGTGACCCTGTATACAGGATGCGCCATAAATATGGTAACCAATTAATTGCTGTGCAGAAATCGCATTATACATTGATACATGGTGAAATTATGCGAACTATTTACTATGTATCGCATTTACAAAACGAACACACGGTCATTTTATGCGATCGTCTTCCGCACTAATTACAGCTCGAAGACGCTTCGGCTACTCACCGACGGTGGCACGCAGAGCTTCTTGAGAAACACTAGCCCGGACTTTTTCCAACGATTTCTTAGGAGCAGCAACAGTGGTGCGTTTTGATGCAGGCTTCCCCCTCCAGTATGGACTATATCCAGCGACCCATCACATCGTGGTCCGGGAAATTCGTAGATGGATTGGAACGTAGGACATGGTCGCGAGCATTTCTTAAGCACCAGTCTCGCCCTTTTTCCATTCGTGGGCAAGCGCGTCATAGTTTTCAAATCCCTAGCCTAGAAGAATTTTTGACCCTCAGTCATTTCTTCCAGGAAACCCCTTCTTAATGAGGTTCGAAATGAATTTTGTACTTTTGTCGACCAAAAGTTGCGATATCGCTCTGATGGTAGAGATTCTAGCCCAAACTATCATGAAAACGGAAAAATGGCTTTGCAAGGCGATCTAACTCTTCTCAACGGCTACAGCACACTTAGTGTGAAATATATGAATACTTTGGGAACATAACATTTCTTCGACGCTGAACACCCTTTAGCCCGAAAAAAGTGTGTCGAAGCGGGTGCCGCGCGTAAGCAGCGCACGGCATTGTATTTACTCTTCAATTTCTTCTAGTCAAAAAGCTTATATAGCTTTCGGATCTTATTTGGATACAATCGTCTTTACTCTGGGTAGACTCTTCTCATCGGATTACAACATACATACAAATCAGCAGTGATTTTCCTTTTGTTTCTGAAGGTTCCGCAGCGTTCAGAAACCTGAAAAGGTTCCGCAGCCCAAGCCTTTGTATGCGGAAAAGGAGTCGTATGTGAGACAATGACCTATGAGGTTTGTTAGAAACGAGGAGCTATCTCGGAGAAGGACTCACCAAAAGCGCGTAAAACTGAACGGCTGGTGGCGGCGAGGCTGCACCGTTTTTCGAAATCTGACGAATTGAGAGCACCAAAGTAGATATGTGGGGTAGGGTGTATCACAAACGTAAGGGAAGGTACAAATTTGGAGAATCCCTCGAACAAGTAAATTACGGACGTCCGAAAAGTTGTTACCATATTTATGGCGCACCCTGTATATACTACAGATATGTATTTTCTTTTTCTGAAAACACTCAACTAACAATTTCTATTTCTATTTGTAATTTTAGGATCAGTTTGAACATCAAGTGTCAGGTGAAGCACTTTTTACTCCTGTTGTTACCTGAGAGCTGCTGATCTTAAGGTGATACATGTAAAACATCAGGTTACAACGCCTCATCACAGAGTACATGTGAAACTAGTTTACAACTTTTTGTTCTAGCAGTTTTTCAATTCAATATTGGTTTAACAGTAAGCATGGATGCTAATCTTTGATGGCCTTGACCGAAGCCAACCCTCATGTAAAACACGTAAGTACGTCCTTACACTTACCAGAGGACCAACGCATACTCGAAAATAGTTGAAGAGAATATCGGGAATGTTTGTCCACTATAAAAGCTAGATGCTTAGAGATTCACCTCACGCAGTGAATTAGTATCTGCCATTCGCGCTTCAAAAGCAATCAAAACCACCTAATAATGAAACGAATGCCGCCTGTTGACAAAATTTGAAATGCTTACGGTTATGATACTCACGAACAGCAACACCTACAACGGTAGAAAACCAACACCACATCTGGTAAAACGAAGTCCCACGATCATTTCTAATAAAAAGAAGGTCACGCTGCTATTTTGGTGGAACTGCGAAGATGCCGCTTGATTCGGCCGTTGCAGAAGTCTTTCGAAGGGAAAACCTTTACCGAAAATGGACGTAGATATCAGAAGTCATGGGGTCCAGTCTTTACCAAAAAACCCGGAAATTCGGGGAGGGACGAGCATTAAAATCGCCACAAGGAAGGCAAGAGATAACAAGATCGAATTGAGTATATAGCATTGATTAAGATCATTCAATAAGAGAATTTCATCTGTGAAAGGCTCAGAAATCATAATCACTTTCCAAACAATCTGGTAGATGGAATGAAATCAATGCAAGGAAATCGGTAATCTAGTTCATCCCACTTTTTTTTGAAAAGCATTTTTTCTGATATGACCCTCAGGGAGCAAAGATTTACCCTCATACTCCGTTGCTTTCCAGCATGAACAGCTTTGGAGCAACCACAGTATTTGTCACAGATCCATTTCAGCCCTGCAAGTGTGTGTTGAAAAAGGACACATGCACAGGCAAGGAGACCTACCATAATAAAAACTCTTCGGGCTAGGAATTATGTTGAACGGCGGTGGCAATGTGGCGGTGTCGTCAAAATACTCAACGAATAACTTACTTCGCGCGAATTTCCACTCTATGTCAGCCTGATTCTGAATAAGTTGAAGTCAGATATACAGTCCCAGCGATATATGAATAGGAAGCAGTCGCATTATTTGAGAATGAAAGTCTAAAAAATACAAAAGTTCTCCGGAAACTTACGGAAATGTATTGGTAGGAGTTGCTCATCATAGCGATCAGCATATTAAGTAAAACAATGATCGAGCAGCAAGAATAACTGCCGAATATAGTTTTTCCAGTCCATTCTGTCAAATAATGAGGTTCCTGAAAATGCTCAAGTTGTGCGATGAGACACGCAGCTCAACAGACATTATTGCATGACAAACCATGAGTGAAAAATGTGAAAGATCGATCAGCCCGAACATCGCCCAGAAAAGTGTTTCTGATGTGTGATAGATACTGAAAAAATGCTATAATTAAACGAGGGCATATCTACAGGGTGGGCCGAAATTATGGCTACACAGACATCCCATCGCAGAAAACGAATAGAAAGCCATAGTGCAAACCAAATTCATTAAAGTGTTTATCACTAATCCCTTATCAAAATTGTACATTTAAACTAGGATCTGCTGCTTTCTGCTTTCGTCCAACCCCAGAAACGACGGCATTGAAGCTGGCACGCAAGTCATTGAGTTGATCCCGGCTTTTTGCAAGACATTTTCGAGATTATTTCTCCTCTTGTTTGGGCTAACGTATGCTTTCATCTCAGAGGCTGACCACTTCTTTGACTACATAACCTTCGATCAGTGACCACTCTAGAGCCCTGACCTAAATCCCGTAAATGTCTCAATAGACATTTACGGGATTTAGGTCAGGGCTCTAGAGTGGTCACTGATCGAAGGTTATGTAGTCAAAGAACCCCCTTTACGAAACTTCTAGAAAATTTCTGTTCTGCGGTCAGGAGCTTCATCTTGACAATATGACCGGTTTGAAGCACCTAGGCGTCCTATTGCACATGAGGAGATCAAGCAGGCTTCCAAACCAACTTTGACTTCATAATACACAAAAATAATCGGTGTCTTTGCCTCGGAGGTGATGCTAGCACAGGCCATCACAGAAAGTTAGTGAGCCATGCGCTGTATCACTTTCATTTCTTTGCTTCATCTAACTCTCATCGCCCTACTTATTGAGCACCTTTTCCACTGCGAATATCTTTTCGTCGGTGAACAGGAATACCGCACGACAATCTTTTCGGATGCGACGGGACAGCTTTTGCCAGCCAACCTTTCCCTTCTCTTCAGCCTGCTCACTTGGGAAATCACTTCCTAATCGTATAAGAGCGTTGCTGTGCAGATGATGCTTCACCATTTCGCGAAGAAAATTTTGAGAGATATCCATTCATTTAGCCATTTTGGGCTCAGAATGAACTCCGTTGCTACGCAGACCTTCGCCCTGCTTCCTTAACACTCCCCCTAAAGATAACCACAGACCTCCTAGTTTTACCACTCCTATCTGAATTTGTTCCCAACTCTCGAAAGCGTCCTATGGTTGAATGTACTACCTGCCTTGTTGCGCTAGGTCGTCTGTAGATGCACATTGCCAAAAGTGCTTGTCAATGCAAAGCGACGTTTACGGACTACTTACGCTTATATTATTTTCGAAATCTGCCAAAAGTTTAGTATCATTAGGAAGGTAATAACGTAAGCTACCTTGTGAAATGGAAAAATCGAATGAATCGTTATGAACTCAGAAAAAAAATTGCTATGGATGTCAGCGTGCGCTGTAATCGTAATTTTGGCCCACCCTGTACATTTCAGTACTCTTAAATTCATTACCCCCCCCCCCCCCCCCCCCCCCCCCCGACGCACATGCGATATTTAAAAATGCTCCCCATGTCCCGCGTCTCCTTCTATTCAGCTCCGAAGTTGTTCATCACGTCGACTTCTTGATAGTGGCTAGGGATTTCATTCACTGAGTATTCTATTGAAAGAAACTAATTAGTCCACCCCTTGAATCTACATGCGTTTATTTGCAAATACAGCAAATACAGTGGCGTCAGGTCAGTTATTTACTCTTGCTGAGGATTCTGTTTTACTGAGAGTTTCTGGCCGTTTGGTGGCTAAGCTGCGTGATGCGACACCCGATTAGCGGATGTGGGTTCAGAGAATGGACAAACTGCTCCTTCTATGTTTGGTAGCTTAATAACATTGGTTTCCATCCACGTGAATTCATGTTTGCTGGAATTAGAATGTCGGTGCGGCCGGTATCTGACAAGTCCGCTCAGCCAAAAGCTAGCTTTCAGTTGCTCAATAGCGATTCGTATTCATACCTAATGAATAACCCTCACTTTAGTATGACCTGACTGACTGTCCTGTTGGCTCCAACAACTAGCCAGGTTAACCCATTTTGAGAGTTATTTATCAGATAGGCTCCTCCACGTCAGAGTGGTGAACTACTCCTGTGTTCTCAAATATGAAAACCCTAGTATGAATTGAGTGCTGAACCCGAGCTTTTAGCTTATAGGATATCGACCGTACCGACATTTTAATTCCAGCTTCGTATTAATCTACCACCATAGCAGCATTGAATCCACAATATTGCAGCTTTTTATAGAACCCTCGGGGGAAGCTTGAGTACAAATTCAAAGGCTGTCGAAAGAAGGAAGAAATAGATCGAAGCACGGCCCCCACAAGCCATCGCAGGAGAACGCGAACCAGATCACGACGCCCTCTAGAGCGATTGATGGTCGACCCTAAGAAGAAGACGTACGCCTAGAGCGTCCATATTAGGGGGAAGTGTTGTAGGGGTCATAGGACATTGGTTCTGTTGAGGCCACGATCATGTTTACCGCCTAAATAGTGATCTCAATGGGGTATATAAACCCCTCGATTGTAGTTATATTCAGTTTATTCTCTAATAAATATTCCATCTGCTGCCTGCTACTTCGGACGCAACACCGACACAGGGCTCTTTCTGCTTTAACGCACCCCTCGGAGTCGAAAACTTGGAATCTAAAAAACGGGATGAACATCGGCGTCATTCGACGCGCTATGGAAAGGAGAAGGACTCTGCTGGGATATTTTATAAGGACGATCCACTGGATCACCTTGGCTAGCGAGAAGAACGAATGGAAACCTCACTGGCAGAAAATCGATGATCAATGTGACAATAGGTAACAAGTGATGCTAACTTATTACTTATTTTGTTGTACGTAGTGCCCACGTCATGTCTCGAGAGTCCTATTTTTTTTTGACACTAGCGGAAGCTTCATCGAGCGGAACCTGATTTTAGGGGACCAAAGCGCATCCTATAGGGATTGGTCTCTTTCATGTCGATAGAAATGAGAAGTTATACGGCCTTTTTAATTGCATAATTTGATAACCATTTTTTTCAGTAAAGAATTTCGAAGGTCATGAACACCGATCCTTTCTGTCCCTTTTGACGATAGCGGCGACGATGGCCTTGCCGGGGGGAGCTTCGTACTTTTCTGAGGTTACATGTACAAAAATTAATTGCTCCGCTATTCCAGTTATAATACTAGACTAAAAACTTATTGTTTCTCTCCTCCCTATGTTGTTTTTATAGAACGGGTTGAATGACCATTGTCTTTATATTTTCGAGGTCATACTCCTTTGCGCATTTCCACGAACGGAATTTTCCAAAAAATTGTAAACTTATTTGGATGCATCCCAACACCTTTACAATACTGCGCCTCATTTCGTCGGGTCGAAACTACCAGGTAACTAGCGATGAGTGATACCCGGTTGGATATGCATGCCCAAGTGTTCGTGTCCAGTGGCGTTATACATAGTGCCGCCTACCTCACCTTACTTTCCACTGCACTTGTTGCTAGTCTCACTGCTATTTACTCTTCGTTTGCAAGCTTGGCTCGGGTGGCTGGGAGGCGTAGCTCATGTTCGGTAGGATGCTTTAGGATTTCCCATTGATACGGTTTACTTCTAATCTCTCGTGTTTTATTTTATGTCAGTTAGGTGTTACCTAGTTTTTCCACTTCTGAATTACATTTGTCGACTGCCTAAGTACAAAGATAAAGATAAGGAGTGAAATAAACTCCTCTTTACACATTTTTCATTCTGTAAAAACCACCTATGCCTTGAAACCTTCGTATTTAGATGTAATGTATGATCATAAAGTGTTAAGTAATTTTTACTTCAGCGCTCCTAAAATAATGTCCTCGTTTCAGTTGTATGATAGCAGCTATGCTTTTGAACTTGAGAAACAGCTTACACAAAAAGTAAGCCTCAATGTGATGTGCCATTTCAATCCTTTTCATCCACAGTGCAGAAACCAGTCAAAGGTTCCGTAATCCCACATTCAGTATTTGTTTTAGAGGCGCAAGTGTGTTGCAAAAAGGTCAGGGAGGAGCTTCATTTAATGAATACCTTCTATATTCCTTATGACGGACAAAGGCTGTAGTCAATTAGAGGTCCAAAAGAGATCTGTCAGACATTAGCACACTTTTCATAAAGCTAAATAATTGTATGCATACTGATGTAAAATCTCGCGCCACGCCCGCTAGATGATTGCTTCACCTGCTGTGTCATCGCCTCACCTCAAGCGGGATCACCTTGTCGTTCCCATATGTTCGACTAGATCCTAAATCACACTAAAGATATACTCCCGTAACATTGTTCTCGAAAGCATTGGACAGATTCGGAAAGCAGATCAGAAACTAGCACTTAGAAACGCATCTTATGTAAACATCTCGCTCTAGATGGCTCCGGCCTTTGCAGCGCCGTGAGAACAGTCGCCTTTGGTTGTGTACGGCGCCTGAGTCGGTTTCGTAGCCCCTATTACGAACCATTTCGTGCGTTTTTCAAGCCGACAGCGACCCTTGTGCTATCCTTTAAGGGTTACAGATTCATCCCAGTAAGAGATCTCGAAAACCAATGTTGTCGAGTACTGTGAACTTGGCAGGATAGGAAGAGTACCAGTTGAATTACAGCCATTCGAGCAAGCAGGGTTTCATAAAGGGTTCAGGACGATCAATCACATCCACGCTGTCCTAAGACTTTAAGTATCGAGGAGGAGAGCACAAGATGCCGTTATAACTGACGTTTTCGATTTGCCAAAGGGCTTCTAAGATCATCGATGCAAAAGCGGTAATTGAAGTCCTAGGCAACCAGGCTGTCGTTGCCTGAGATATCAGGATTATTCGGATGTTTCTTGAGCAGTCCAGCGACTTCACTAACATAATTTCGCCATACTACAAGAAATTCATTGTCAACATAAGAAGAGGTTTTCAACAAGGAGCAGCACACCCAGACTTCCCACTGCCACTCTTGAAAGCACAATGCGCCATTTTGAATGGGAAGGCTTGGGATTGAAGGTCGACGACCGGTGCTTACATTGTCTCCGCTTTGCAGACGTCATTGTGCCTTCAACACCAATGATCTAGCAGAAATAATAAATGCTGGCTGAGTTTGACAGTGCTTGTGGAAAGATCAGACTGGGGATGACCAAACGGAGATGTTGTCAATGAAGAAAGGGTTGGTGCGTGCCTGATGCTCCCTTCGCGCTCAAAAGAACGACCATCTCTGATTGCTCTGAAAACCATAATGTTATCCTAAAATCTCACCTGGACGTGCTGCGGTACTTAGGATCACAGCTTTCTTTGAGCACTTCCAGCCTTCCTGCGTTCGCCATTGTTGTCGGATTCGCTAGCCAATGTTTGTATTGTTCACATTCCTGTTAGAACATCAGTTTGACCTAATATACAGTGTAATTAAAGAAAGAGATTGCGAACTTGCTGCCTTGTCGCTCCATAGTGCCAAAGTAATTGGTTGAGACCACAAGCGAATGCAAAGAGCACCAAAGCGTAGACGAGAAAAAATTTTAGAATGTCTAATATCATTCGACCTGAACAACTCATCCATTAAAACCTTTCGAATGCAAATTTTTATTGGTTTTTTCCGTAATTCAGATCCGTTGGCTGGATGTTTCGCAAAAGAAAAATGATCACTTTAATTACCACGCGGTCCTTGGGGATAAGCCACGAACCCAGAAGCTTGAAGAATATCTCCTAGGCTTGATGAACGCGAGAAGGCAGACAGTTTCAGCATAAACTAATGGTGCCGCTTCAATTGATGGTAATGGTAGTGGTTCTCGTCTTATGGTTAGAATTGCTGCATAATTGCCAAATGTATTGTGGTATTTAGACGGGAGAAGTCCACAGACTACAGGTGCATTTCTATATGGTTGAGCGACATGGAAAGACCTGAGCAGGAAGAAAATGCTCGCGCTCTTTGTTCATAAAGACTTTACGCTTTTCTCTTACCTAATGAGATCTTGAGTGGACCAAGATACGGATTAACGGTGAAAATATGTACAAGTTTCAACGACGAAAAGATGTTGGCCGTGGCGAAAACACATTCACTGACCAACGTCGGGTCCCATGCGTCCCAATCTTTCCTGAATACGGTGCGTGAAAAACGAAATCCTATTCTCAATTGATGCAACATCACAGATACCTTTGAAGAAATCGAGCAATATGCTGCATTCGTGGGTCTTTCGTCTCTCGATCCACCTGAAGGGTAATTTGTTAGATATGAACTTATCATGTCGAGTTATACTCCTACCAGCAATTTAGTTCTTATAAAAACAGCTCATATAGTTCATAAAAAAGTTTTGGTATGACTATGACCTGATAATAAGCAACAGCTCGCAGAGCCACTGTGGACAGATAAAGCGCGTTCGTGATGAAATCAAGAATATTCCATAAGTTATGACAGTAGTCGTGGAGACCGCAGTCCCATAGCTGCTTGATTTCTACCCATATCAAGCCTGAAAAGGTGGTTTCGAGCTGGTTGATAAGCTCTGATTATGGAAATAAATGTACACCGCACCAGAAAACAGCTGCTGCCCGCTTGCAGCAGAAAGTTATACAGGCGCTCAAGCACCTAACCATGCCTAGCGTGAAATTAAAGACACAGGGCACGGTGAAAATGGCCTACGAGATATCCCTGATAGATCTGTCGCCGCCCTTACATGATATGTATGTGGCGCTGCCCGTTGTGATTATGCAACGGGTAGCATGTATTGCTACATGCAATGCGATCCCATATTTTCCACGAGGTTGGTAATGAATTTCTGTGGTACGGCATTCCACTCCTCAATCGGCGCAATTGACAACTGCTGAATGGTCACTGGCGCATTCGATCGTGCTGCAGTGGGTCTACCCAATGCATCCCACACGTGCTCGATAGAATCCAGATAGGGACAAGTCACTGGCTGCTTTCATAGTCCGCCGGGCGGCCGGCGTGCGCGAGGCAGTGCTAGGGGGAGGAGGACGGCAGACGGTCGGTCGAGGGGTTGAAAACAAAGAAGAACAAGATCAAAAACCAAACAACAAAGGGCTCGTACAAATGGTTTTTGATATTGTCTCTCCTTGTTTACAGCCCTTCGAGGGGCTGACCGACCGTCTGCCGCCCTCCTCCCCCTAGCACTCGCGCACGCCGGCCGGCCGGCCGGCGGACTATGAAAGCAGCCATTCCGTTCGCCGAATATTCTCTTGTGCTAATAATCTTCCACATGTGCTGTATGATACGATCGTGCGTTGTCATCCATAAAATTGGATTCAAGGCTTATTGCAGCACTGAAAAAGCGCACATGAGCAAGGAGTACCTCGTCGCCGTTACGCCGACTGGTAAGGCTTTCATGCTTAAAAATTTGAAGGTCAGCACGGCTATGCAACGATGCCTAACCATGCCATAACACCCTTCAGACAACGAAAACGATCATGTTTGACAAAGTTTCTGGGGATTTTGCGTGTTCCCACCTTTCGTCATATGTTGGGCTCAGAGTCACTGCTCGGACTAAATCTGCATTCATCCGGAAACAGCACACGGCCTCATTTCACATCGATTCATTTGTTATGCTCCTGGCCCCATCCAACACGGCCTAACCGACGCGCGACGGTCAATGGAACACAAAGTAGCAGTCGTCGGGCGAAGAGACCGCCACCGTGCAGTCGTCGGGGTGCTGTAGTACGTGATATTGCTTTGAAGTCCCGCAAAACGTCATTGCGATCATGAAAGCTGATTGACGTGGATATCTTCTTGCCTGTTAGCAAATATCCCTTGATGTAGTTGAACTTGATCGACCACCTCTTCTCCTTCGTGCAGTAATGGATGTTCTAAACGCTCTCCATGCACGTGAAAGAACGCTGTGAGCGATACCGAGCCCCCGAGCTACGCACGCTATAATTCGACCTTCCTCGTGTTTCCCGATGATCCTTCCTCCTGTAAAACCAATCAGATGGTTTCAGATGGACATGGATGGACAGGCGGACATGATGTATCGAAGGACACCACCTTAGTACTTCGTCACTTCTCGCAGATTGACAAACTTTTTTCATACCTATCGACTGCCTCGGGCGGCCATGTTTCGTGGTTTACTTGAATTGAAATGCAGTTTCTTGTGCATAACCGATGCAGTTTCGCAATATGCTACCACACTTATTTATTTCCGCCCAGTTCTTAATCATTATACATTATTCATCTCGTTCTGAGTTTTGCACACGCGAGTGAGTAGTAGTTACAATAGGTCAGATGCATAGAGACTTCCGGGCGTCCCAATCCGAGCGTCCCAATGTCCATTTTGTCTTTGGGAGCATGAAGCAGGACTGATCGATCAGTACTAAACAAGCAGGATTAACAGTAGTAAAGGGCAACGTTCACTAATGCATGAAAGAGTTTTATAAGTTCTGATGGGTATTTACGTGTGATCCCCATAGGGAACAGCCCATAAGGAAGGTCTGCAGAGATGCGGTCGTAAGGATTACTAACCGAGAACCCAAATGATGATGGCCATCTCAACTGGTGTAGGATGAGGTCCTCGACCCTCTTTTCGTGAAGGCGCGTTTTCTTCTCGAAACATGTTGTCAACACGGTCGATCCGCTGGCTAGCCAAGATGAGAAGCGCTAAATGAATAAACGAACCGCACTTGTCTTCGGATATCTGTTGTCGCTGATTTGGAACTTACCGAGAAAGACGACATAGCTGGCGGAATGAGAAAGAAATTTCACGAAAGGTCTACGAGTAAACTGAGCCAGTGCTGACTTGGGCGCAATCAAATATGAAAGTGAAAGAATGGGGAATGACAGCCCTACAGCTGCCATCAGGAGGCACTGAAACAGTAAAGTATACGTATCAAGTTCAGAAATCCGAGTACGAAGAATGGCTGGGTCCACAGCATTTGAGAAACGTATTGATTAGGCCAGATTGAGTGAATAGTCTTGTTATGATCTGACCTTGTAAATGATATTTCTGTTCCGAAACCCAGGCAGTCCCTCATACCAGATACCAGAGAGCAGCTGCTGGCAATTTGGATGGGCGACAAACTGAAATGACGATTATTGAACACAAAGATTTCGTTCTGTAGCGATATCCACAATCATGTATTTTGTTCTACAATGCTGTTACCAATTCGTGGTCAACCGACGATTTGCAATGGATTAGTATGTGGTATGCAAAAACGTTAGACATCCTTCGTGTTCTTCTCTGCCTTGGCCAAGATGTTACAATTTTTATTTGCTACGGTCTTCTTTGGGCATCAAAGGCTCTGACGAAGGCGACTGGCCGAAACGTTAGCCAAAATAAAAATTGTAACATTTTGGTCAAGGCTTCAGAGAAGACACCACCGATGTCAAGCTACCATGCCAAGTCGAAGCGATAGTCGGACATGGTTTTTTTTTGTCAGAGTTCTCTGGTTTGGTTGGAGTAAAATCAGCGGGAAGCTATGCTTAAAGGGAATTTAAGTTCCGCCCACACTTCTGCGAACGTTTATGTTTGAGTCCAAGCACCTACGATAATAACTGCGGATAGAACGTAATTTAGACTGAAATTTCATTTTTCTTGTTCAAAGCCATGTAGTGGAATTGAAGAAGATATGAACCCATGATCAATTTGATACCCTTCTTGATGGAGTGTGCATTATTCCATTTGAAGCCAGTGGTTCAGATCATCAATCTTCTCATAATTCGATTATTCTCGTAGTGATGCATTTCATCGAAGCCGTGCAGTTCTGCACTAAACCAAAGACTCGAACTGTGAGTTTCTCTTTTGAATTTATCAGGAAGTTTCAATTAGTGTTCATTTACCGATTGTTCCCAGTCTTGAACAGCTACGAAGTGATTCGAAAAGGTCACAACTGAAAAGTCTTGTTTTTATGTTGTTTTGTCATTACTACTATTAAATGAGGAGATGGATGCCTGAACCGTCTTTTAACTGGCGATGAGGTAGCCGACACTTTGCTATCATCCTCTAGCCAGATCCTAGCAGCATACCGGTGCCACATAAGGATTGATATACAGCTATCCTTTTTTCAACACAAATGAGCAGGCTATCACAACCTCAGCGTTTTTCTGCAAAAGTTCCTCCTCAATTGATATGAAAGGCGAAATTGCTAACATGTTACGAGAGATCATGGTTTTCTGCTCCGGTATCGTTCTTAGTAGGATCTATGCAATTTTTAGCTGAGCTGCAAGGTTTCACTGAGTTTCTCCCCGAAAATTTCAGTTACTAATGAAAATTAGTCAATAGCGGTTCACCCGAAGTGTTCTTGAAACTCTTTAGAATGGACGGCGAGTGGCTCGAGAGAATTCTTAGCTCGATCTTTGACTACCATTCGGACACATGCAGCTGAATAAACTCTATTGCAGCTTCGAAGAGTGTAGCCAAGTTAGTGATTGAACAACATAGCAGCTCTTGCAATTGTCTATGGGTTCATTTTCTATCTTACATTTGTAAAAACGAAGGTTGGTGCTTCACGCGTGAAGAAGAGCTACCACAACAACACCTATGATTACGAATTCTATCAAGATGTGTTAACATTCAGTCTACTATGTCATCATTTTTTCTGAAAAGGCTTGATTTTTAGCTAGTAGTATAGTCAGTGACCTGAGCCCTCGCTATCGTTTTCGGTTGGGCTTACTGGGTCTGCATAACTATATCTTGAGAATGTACTACATTCACCACATCACCACGAAGATTTTTTTTGGATAACCCTGTTTTGAGCACCAAGAATTGTAACACATACGAGCTTAAAAATTCACAGGATCAAACAACTGAAGAGTGGCTGAATTGCCCAGCCGGTCGATTGGTTAGAGCAAACGGTCCCTCTCCTCGAGGTGCCATAGTCTAGAGATACGCGAGTGTTCGAATTTTCCGGGGAGCACATTAAACAAACACCAAATTGATCAGCATAAGGATTTTTTGTTTTACAATATGTACCGTTGAGCTAACTCGGCTGGTTTCTCACATTGCTTGTCAACGAGATACCGGAAGCTCTCATCCAATTTTTTGACCGCAACGTGAGCTAATAAGAGAAACTGGGGTGAAGGCGGTCGTTACAGTCATGAAGTGATTCAAAACATGGAGTATCGACCATCTCCTACTTCAAAGCGACCGAACTGAGCCGCTATCGAATAATTCGCTAAATTGTTCATCCGGACGACTAGCAAAAACGAGGAGGAACAGTGCTTGCATCCTAAGTTTGCACCCGTTTTAGGATCCGAGGATGCGCCATGCGCAGCGGAGTTGGCTAGCACCTTGCGCTGCGCTTCTCCGAACTAACTCATTGGCTCTTACTGGTTAGCGCTTGTGGCCCTCAGTTCATATGATACGGATAACTGTAGGATTTTAATTTGAAGCGTTTCTGAACTAGAAAAAAAATGAAATGCAAGTGAATCGAAATCAAATATAGTGCCCGAAGCTAAACTGCATCTGTCATGACGTTGTTGTTGCCTTCCTAACAGTGCACACTAATATCACAGGTGTGTAGCTGTTGAAGTATGCTGTTCAAAGGAACTGACGATAGCGAAGGCGATGGGCCAATAAAGGTCGATATTGAAACCGTCAGTCAGAAGGCGATTTAGCCATCCACCACCACAGTTAATAGCAATAAAAATACGACAACATAATTGGGACTCGTTGCAGATGCATAGGTCTCGTCTTATCATCACCTGACGCAATTGTTGAAAGTACACCAACTAGAACTTACTGGGAAAGAAAACAAGATGCTGTTTCCAGCACCAATCAGTCATGAGTTTTGTATATTTATTCTTGTGTCACGCGATCTGATCCTCTTATTAAGAATAGAGCCACTTCATTCTTGTGAAAGGTATCGCTGGGACTAATAACCAAGTTTTGGAAAAACCAATGAGTTGGACCACTGTTTTAGGCTGAAATTGTTCAATTTCGAGTGCCACTTATCAGTGGAGTGGAGAATTCACGATGGTCTTATATCCGTAGATGACGCTTAGGATGCTCGAAAGCCCCATCTTTTTTTGTAAAAATAAAAGGTGGGAAATCGAAAAAAATAATGAAGAAAATCAAAGTACATTATACGTCTGAAATCCTCGCGCGCAGAGCTTACCACCGATCTGATTTCCAACCATAATGAAGACTTTTAGCAAAAGTAATGGCAAAGTGACGATTTACGACGAATCGGTCCACAATATTGCGTATGAATGTCTCGTGTGAAATTGAAACAAACTTGCCCTTTTCTGTCGTAACTTGATAGCAAGTTTTAATCTGGCCAACTGTTCAGTAGTCGGCGTACCTCTTGTTGTTACCTAAATGAGCACTAAGCGTTAACACTACTGAACTGCTTAGACAAAAAAAACCTTATTAAAATATATAATAATATACAAGAAAAGCTACAGTCAATACACTACGTACACTTGATACACTGTGTTGTTTTGCCCTTTATTTAGTCGACTTTCAAGCACATTGTCGTCTTCAGTGACCAAGAAGAAGTTTGAAGCTCCTGATCTGTGGCTTGATTGATCGAGCGCCCAGTCGCTCTGGGCGAGTTGCAACCGAAACTCTAACGCGAACAGATTCCGACCGAGTTACCAACCTTCCTAGGCTCAAACAGTGGTGTCGTTCCAGTCGCTTTCACGAAGCTAGGACCTTCAAATTCGTAGAGAGTATAGGCGGAAGGGTGAGAGCACCTATGGTAAGTGGCAGGACTGGCCTCCGCCCGAAGGGGGCCGGGCGAGCGTAGGAAATTTTAATTTGAGCTTGAAGGGTTCGTACAGCCGGCAGGGTCGAGACACAGATGACAGAAAGCGGGAAGTGGTTGTGCGGGCTTCGCGTGTGATGGGCTAGACGGGGGGACGGAACTTTCGTGCGGCAAATTGCACGAAGTTCATGGCGATTTGAACGACTTTAGCGTCTAATAATGGGGTCCATTTGAAGTAGGGTAGATAGGTAGGATCAACTAACTATACTAATCTACTCTACTTCAAGTTTGTGCCCCAATAAGAGGCGCCAGGGTCGTTCGAAGGGCCGCGTATCTCGCCGCGCAATGTGCCGCGCGCATCCTCGGACGCACGTATGTACCCATACCCGGCTAGACGCGCACGAAGTATGTATGTATGTGCGACGTGTGTCTGGTCCGAAATAGATTGTTGCTGTGCTCCTAACCAGAGCATCTAATTTTGAGAAGGGTGTAGGCGACAGGCCAATTTGAATACTAGAATGAGAAAAGCTTGACTCTAGTTAGGAAGTACGACTTGTAAATATTATAAAACCAAGCGTTTAACATGGCACCGTCTAACGTACATTGCTAGAGCAAATGACGTGGACAAAGGGATGAGAAAATCGTGCTGTACGGCTGCTAAAGATGTTACCTTAGTTGAAATTTCTATCTTCGTCATCCCTACCTCGTCACACATGCTGTGCCACTAAAAGGGAAGAGGAACTCATGAACACTTCAAACACCCGTAAGTGCAGCCTATATAGCAAGCCTCCCAATGTAGGAAGCCTGATGCAAGAGCCTCTTCAGCAGGAGCAGCTTTTTTAAACATCAGATATTTTTACAACGTCGTGACGGAAGTCAATTTCGTAAACGCACACCTCTTCCCACGCGGTTGTGGTATGATTGAGCACAATCTCAAGCTCTTTCGATCCTCGAACCTGATCCAGCATATTTACTGAGAACTTCTGACACTTTTGGGAAAGCTCCTGTAAAAGGCATATTTTTATTATTACTTTTTTCTTTGACTTGCAATCAACGCCAAAAATGTTAATAGCAGTCCTGAACGTTCAACATCTATACTTTCCTTACCTGATATTCACTGCGAAACTCATTCTCGATGTAAGAGAGTCGTCGCAGCTCCCATGACAGCTCGAAAGCGTAGAGAATGGGATCCTTGGCAGAGAGGCAGATGAACGATGGCGACGCCAGTGCCCGATAGGCGTTTATTCGTGAACGAGACAACCGTAAGGAGTCCTCCTCGCGAATCTGTCAAGCCGATATTTGTTATTTTCGTCTTGCCTTGGTAAAAAACAACGCTGAGTTCTGATGTGGAATAGGGCGGTACGAATTGGGGATAAAGAATCAGAAGAGAAAGAGGCGGGGGTAGGAGTAGAAAGGAAAGAAAAAGTTGCTCACAACAAGGTGCATGAGAAGCCTGTGGTGCTCGCACTAAAAGTTTGTGCAACGTGGAGACTCGTTGCTACTTCCCTGCCCCGATAGCAATATCTACTATCATTGAAAATGGCCCGTCTAAGCTGGTTCCTCCATCTTTCTGAGCCAATTTCCATGTGGCTTCCTAAGCAACCACTCTTCTGTTCAAAGAAATTGATACATTTGATATCACCAAGATTTTATGGAGTTGTGCCCGAAACTACATCACAAACTTGACACAGAGATCTAAAGGGAACCGGGCATAAACAGAGCAATATGTGGTAACGCATACGAATCTTTTGCGTTGACCATTGAATCATAGCGTGTAATAACTGGACCTCCCAGGACTTCGGAAGAATACCATCCCGAAAGCCAGAGAGGAATTGAAATGAGAAGAGTTCACCAATTTCCAAAGGGAGGAATAGAGACGACTAGAGTATACGTTATCGACGCTCACCCGAGCGTATCGATGATTAAAGGACTGACAGGTGAACGGATGTCTTCCTTCTTTTACCCGTTATTTCCTACATCACACTCAACCAGCAAGGTTGCAACGTTGATGTGAAAAAATACGATCTACTGGTTCACTCATTCCAACCCTCATAATCATTTCTTATTCACTCTTTTCTCTTCCTACCAACAACCATCTGCGATTCAGCGACGTCTCACAATCCTTATCAGCTTCATCAGGTGTCGATATCTAACACCAACCATCATATTTTCACACTTCATATAACTGAATCAGGGTGGGGGTGGATTCTCTTCGAATACCTCCAATAGGCCACCCAGACATCGCTATTGAGGTGTAACAGACCCAGCGACGGAACTCTTTGTGACCCTTCTTGTTCCCCCCCCCCCCTTCACATACCAGACTACGAAATTTCATATTACTATCTTCCAGTCGTCGTGACATGAATCATTCAGGGTTTTCATGTTCCCGTGGGGCAAAAGAGTGCATCTACCAACAATTAGCTACGAAAAGTCGTTGCATCGACCACATATTATGTTAGCGACTCTGTACTCAAATGCTCCTAGCCTACACGTAAGCCTGAGCGGTTTCTCGGTAATAACCGTAAACACCCACAAACCATTATTGACTACATTAGTCAGCTTATGTGATTTGAAGTTGTTTGTCAGTGCACATTACTGCCACGTTCTCCGATTCCGCCACATCAATCGAGAAGTAATCATTGTCACATTGCAGAGAAAAATAATTTAAAGATATTGTCAAAATTGCTTTTTCCTCACCACTTCGCATTCGTGGCACGAACAGTGGACGTCGTGAGGATGTGGTACAGTGCCCTTCTTATCAAGGAACAGTTTAATACACTCGTAGTTGTCCTAAACACAAAATATGACCTAAAATGATTTACACAGTTTTTTTAACCTCCTCCTTTAAACCAACTTTGTGAGCAGCAAGGATAATCGGAGTAATGTCTGGCGGGAAAGCTGAATGTTGGTTGATTTCGACGCCTTGGTTCTGAATATATACATTGAAACTGAAACACTTGAGGAGGAAAGGTAAATGAACGATTAGATCAAAGGGTTTCACCTCAGGGTTGAATTTATCTATCTTCTCCAGGTGTTCAACAATGATCTCAACGGCTTCAACATTCTCTTCTCCAATTGCGTAAAGAATTGCATCTCCCGTCTAAAAAACAAGGTCTGAAAAACAAAAGGCAAAACACTTCTGAGGGACAGCAAAGAACAATATGTACTTGGGTCCGGTTGCCAGAGTTTGGTCCTATTCAAAACAGGAGACTACAGAAAACATAGGATGCAGTGTTTCTGGTCCCGATGTCGCAACTTTTACCACAGTTTAATAGACTACTCATTAGAACTCACTACTGCTTTTCTGACAAAGCGTTAGAGAACAACAGACGAACTGTACAATCAAGAAAGCTGCTTTCAGGATTGTCGTTGTCGATTCCATCTGAGCCTCCTCTTTTCTTCAGAAACAGCACGAACACTCGCAAGATTTCGATTATAAACCAGAAGGACAAACAGTAGGGCTGTCTACTACCTACTCCTGTTGTCTACGTCACAATTACACCGCTCTCACGTTTCGCTTCCCCTAGCCACATTAAATTGCCTTCATCCTTCATTGTAGACAAGAGATGTGCATTTGCAGAGGTTACTTGAGTGCTTTTCAGTCGCTATGCAACAGCGCATGTGCCTATTTGACTCTCTTGCCTATTAAGGCTTGTGGAGTTCCTCTGCTACGGGCCCAACCTTCGGTGGCTAATCGCAAAGCAAGCTATGATTGCATATGATTCTACGGAGTGTTTTCGAAAATTGGGGAAGATCCGCTAGAAGTTATGTTCGCAGTCAGCACCAGGAACTTGTCAGTGTGGGGGAAAAAAGTGATTGAGAAAGTTTTTGTCTGTCTTCTGCATTGCAGCACTTAACCTCACATGGTGAATAACAAGCAGTCCAGCCTGTAGGAACTGGCTGGAACACACCTTTCAACCCTCCCCAGCCCGCCCACATCAGATCTCACCTTCGGTTGACCATTTGAATGAATGCTACAAGTAATGATAGTGATTACAATTAATTAACTTTAACATTTAATGAGCGAGAGTTTGAACAAAACCGTGAATGACCTCAAAACGTGGGTTTTATGTCTCGAGACTTTTGCATCAACCTAATGAATTGAAATTTATTTAGAACATATTGTACCCCTAACCGACGTACACACCTCAAAGTACAACCTCTATTCTTGTTTGTAACTGAATAGCTATCGAAGTCGATTTTGCAAATGCTGTTGATGTTTTGCTGTTGACAAGAAAGTGAAAAACAATAAGGCGAATGGAAAACATTCCTTACTTCGATATTGTGGTCGAGAAGCAGCTCGATCATTTCGATGTTTTCATTTTCGATGGCGATCAACAGTGCATTTCTAAAGATTTCATGTTGACAAGAAAGTTCTGCGATAAAAAATTCTAAGCGTTAAAAATCTCATGTAAACTATGTGTGCAGGCCATCGCGCCTCGTACTAGCTAGGTGCTCTTCAATTCGTACGGCTAGTCATCCTATTTCTTCGATGTATGATGACCCGCATTAGCATTACATCTTGTAGATCAACCTATCAACGCGCTAGCTCGCTCGCTTTCCCGTAAGAAAATATGGTGCGATTACTAAGAGCTTGTTGATGCCGCTATTGGAATGCCCGCTAAATGGGCAACATTATGCGGCCTGCCCTAACAATGCTCCACAAGATGTGTTGCATTGCTAAAATTTTCGGAGATATGTATTAATGTTTGACCTTCCACGGCCTTGTGGCCGCGGTGACATCCGACAGCGTTTACCTCCACCTGTGCAGATACTAGTTGATATTCACATCGTTTTTGTTAATTGCACGACTGACGGCTTATGAGTGAGTTGATGAAACTTGAAATAAGATATCCTTAGAGCTAGCTTCAAGGTAGCTTTGATGGTTCACTTTCCTTTTCAATGTCGCTGAATACCTTGACTTGTCTGTTGTGGGTGGGGGAGGCAACCGGCATGTGTACTTGAGGTGTAAGTTCAATCTACTGTGACTGTTCATGCACGATTCGTATTAGTTCCATTTTGAACCGAGTGGACGTTATGACATGACGTGCTTCATGGGATCGTAGAAGAAGAGTTAAATGGTCGAATCACCGCCGCAGCACCGGCCAGAATATTGTGGATTCCAACTTTGCATCCTGTAGTGAAATGCTCTTCTCTTGCAATTTCTACGCTCCTGTCGGTGCCGATGATGTTCTCTTTGTCATCTGCTCAATGAATTCTGATGGGCCACCATTCCAGGGACAAGTCAGCAATTCCGTTTTCACTTCATTTTTCGCGGCGCTGACGAAATGTTGGGCTTTGAGCTCTATTTCCTCAGGGCTTCTGCAGCTCTTTTTTGTCCTAAATGCTGTTATCGTCTTCAGTCAATTCATAACGCCGCTTGAGAGCGTGTTGCAAGGTCGACATACCATGAAGCCCTTAGGGTTGTTCTTACGGAATAGCTCGACCGCCATGAAACGTAGCTTTTCGTCAAGCAAGTCCTCGAACATACAGGTCACAGGCCACTAGGAAGAAAACATTCCCAAAATAATCGGTATGCCATGATGGGCTCCTGTGTCACTCCTGTAAAGTGTTTATTCAGTCTTCAAACGGTTGAAAGCTTTGTCTACGTCATAGAGAAGCAGAGTGTATAAGGTGTGCAGTTGGGAACAACATGTGTGCTTCAAACATTTTCTTCAGCCTTTTTTTTTNTTTTTTTTTGAAACTTGAGTTCTTCACAGCTATTTTATACATCTCCGGGACCTTTCTGTTGGAGTCTCTCAAAGTTTCCAATTAAACAGAGCCATACTATTGTAATGGAGAGATAAGGGATTGTTGGCAGAATTGTCATTAATCAATTCGCTCATTCTGCAATACAATGCTGACTCTGTTTAATTTTGAACTGTGGCGAATTGGAGCCCCTTAAGTCCTTCTCAAAACGTTCTGCATAGTATCATTTGGATAACAGCAGAAATGAGCCGAGGGGCAGGCGCAGAGGAATAGAAGTGAAAGCCGAAATGTAAAAGCCGATGGCCACATTTGTAGAAATGATACTCAGCATGATAGTCTATTTGGAAAGCCTTAGAAATGATTCCTAATGTTTTATGTTGGTTAGCTTTAACATGATTCAGTGACTCTTAATGGAGATTAAACATTGCTTTTGGTTTTATTTCTAAAGTTGAAAGTAATTGATTAAAATACTCCAGACAAACCTTCCTAAAGGATCGACACAATTGATATTCAGCCCGTCCTTGATCGCCAGCAGCTTCCTCACACTGCCAATGTCGCCTCGTTCGCATGATAGCAGGAATTGCTTCTCACGCAGGCGCATGTCATCTGAGAACAACATTGTCACATGGTCGTTAAGATCCTGCTGGTGATTTCATTACCTCAGTTTGAATAGAAGGTTGCGAAATAAGTAAGCTCAGGTCTTTCATGGTTTTACGGTTTTATCAAGGTGTAAGTTAACTGCCGCACAGACTAAGTTTTTCCCTGAAGCGCTCAATTATGGTGAATAAGTACTTCACGAATCAGATGGACCGGCTTGCGCCGGGTTGCCCACCTTTTTTGGCAAAGCTCGGCTCTCAGAGCAATCAATAATATTAGGTTGATGCATATTTATTGGGGATTTTTTCGCGGCTTTTTTTCTCTCGATAGAATTTAAATATTGTGTTCGGGTTTTTTCTAGAAATGATCTACTTGATTTCCTCTACAAGAATATACTCAAAAAACCATCCGCATATTCGCAAAATTAGGCTTTACTACCTCGAGAAAGATTGGAAGGTGGCGCACTCATTCCGCGATCTCAGTATCTTTTCAGCGAATGTTCATTAGTTGACCTAGTGAAAGTACCCATGATGTCCTGGTGGTCAAACACGGCCAGACATTTCGATATTTTCCATTTCCCTGCATTTTACCTGCCTCTATATATTAGGTTTTTGAATAATTATTGCGCATTTTTCCAGCGAATTTTACTTAAAGAAATTACAGAAATAGTAAGCAAAGACATATTCAGATAATTACTTCGGAACTTATTTACCATCTACGTCAAGCACTGCTCCCACTGATTAGTTAGTCGGATACCAGAAGCGAAGAAGTTTTGATCCTTACGGGCGATCCACGCCTTGACATCGGCCATCAAGTCATCCAAATCGACGTAACTTCTACTCTCTAGCCATTTTTTCGATGAACGGTTGACGAGATAATCCATAAAAGTTTCTGCTGGTGAATATGGCAGAATTAGGTGCAGATCCCATTTCTTGGTTGGTTCTGGCTCATTGTTCGATCGCCGAAAAGTCACTGAGATCGCGGAATGACTGTGCCACCTTCCAATCTTTCTCGAAGTAGTTAAGCCTAATTTCGCGAATATGCGGATGGTTTTTTGGGTATATTCTTGTAGAGGAAATCGTGCAGATCATTTCTAGAAAAAACCCGAACTCAATATTCAAATTCTATCGAAAGAAAAAAAGCCGCGAAAAAATCCGCAATAATTATGCATCAACCTAATACATTCCTTCCAGCAAAAGTTGCAAAGAGTAGGATTTGGAAGTCCGAGGATAAAACTGGCTTCCAAGATTCATGGAGCACAACACCATACAAGTAAAATGCAATTAGGTTTATCCTTTACTTTGAGATTTCGCACATTACGCGTCAACTTTTGCAACTCATAAGCGAGAAACGTGTCTCTTGATTCCAATGGCTGGAACGGGTTTTGCAAGCGCTCAAAACACTTTTTATACAAAAGCAAAACAAGCACATGCATCAAAGATTCGAACGCCAGTGTCACGCCTACCAGTCGTCCTACCAACCTCGCCATCGCTGTGTGCCGCCATTAGTGCTACTTAATTCTTGTATTGAAGCAGCAATGTGGCACGACATCTGGGAAAACCAGGTTCGTAACTTTCCCCCGGAATTATTTTGCAGATTTGGATCTCAGATTTGAGATCAGCGTTTGAAAGTAATTACGTCGTTGTACATCTTACCTTGAATGGCCACTGCGACCTAGTATCTTTTCCTTGTGAGAGGATAGTTGCACGATAGCGATTTCTTCAACTGAAGTATTGAACACGCACAATACATCTGGATCATATGTATCACCTGTTGCCCCTTTAATCATCGATTTCCTCGGGCGAGCGCCGGTAACGTAACCGTCCAACCCCGTCGCGAGCCAGAATAGTCCAACGAAACGTCCTCGCCCAAGCTCAGCATTCCTTTCGTTCAGAGCTTCCGTGAAGAAGTTGAGCATCGCGTAGGCGGCAGTCCTGGTGTTCGGTCCCGAGACCCAGTCAGAAACTGCACTGGTCCAACCGTCATCACGGTAACGGTCCGGGCACCTAATCTTCGATTTCTTGGAAAGCAACGGCATCCCCGATCTTTGTTCGTTAACAAAGCTCGAAACTTCGGATTCCCTTCTGCGCTTGCGTGTGTAGGGGAACTCCGAGCATTGTCCTCTTCAAAGCGCGTTGGGTAACGGTGACAGCATGTTGAGAGAGTCAAGTCTTCAAGGGGCACGTCAAAGCGGGAAGGACGGTACTGTCGAAAAGGTTAGGACCGAATATTCTTTGTCTCATCCATTACCCCCATGATATTCTTATGTGCTCTCCACGTGTTCCCTTCTGCTCAGCTCAGAAGCTAATTCGTTCATAAAGTTGGCTTCCCGACCTATTTAAACAGCTAGAGCATTTATAGATATTCGCTCTGCTTAGCAAAAGGAAGCATAAGGCACCAATCCGTCCTCATGGATATCGTCTCCGTTAANTTAAGTTCACTCTCGAGCCAATCTTCCAGAAAGCATTGTTGAATTTGGGCAGCATTCATTCCCCCTGTTCTATGTTAGGTGTTATAAACATGATATCGTCTGCAAAGCGGAGGTGATGTCAATCGACCTCCATTCCCAAGTCCTTCTGTCCAAGTGATGCATGATGTTCTCGAGAGCGGCACTGAAGGGTTTGGGCAAAATGGTGTCGCCTTGCTGGGAACCTCTCTTCACGCCGATACTGACTTCCTTGTAGAATGGCAAAATCTTGATCATGAAGCTGTCGTAGAGCTCACGGAGCATACTTATGTATTGAGTAGGGATGCCCTGGTTGCTCAGGGCTTCAGTTGCCGCTTTAGTCTCGGCGGTATCAAAGGCCTTCGAATCGATGAAAGTAAGACATAGTGACATTTTGTACTCTTCGATACTTCAGTGAGTCTTGTAAGAGTGTGGATATGATCAATTGTACTGAACCCTCTCCGAAACCCTGCTTACTCGCATGGCTGTTCTTCATCTAATTTTCTACCGGGATGACGCATATGAAAAGCTGGTAGATTACAGACAGCAGGCAGGTTGGGCGATAGTTGCCGAGATCGTCCGGATACCCCTTCTTATACAGCAAAATAGTCGTACCAGTTTTCCACGACGGGGGCACTTTGCATTCCGGCAGGTACCGCGTGAAAAGCCTAGCCAGAGGTCTGACAATGACTGATGGAAGGCTCTCAAGAAGCTCTGGTTTAATACTATCGAGACCGGGGCCGTACAAATATTCATCAACGTGCTGGCATGTCGAATTTCGCAAGAGAGAACTGAAAGAGCGGTGTACTCGTCCTGCGTAAGATGGTAGGTAGGCAGGTAGACGTGGCTGTCGGAGAGAACCGAGTAGAAGTCGTGGATCACTTTCTTCTTTGCCTCTAGATATGTAGTAACTGTCCAACAGGACAGCGAAGGGAAGTCATCTTGGTTTTGTAATTGATGCGAATGCTCTCCAATGGTGTCGACGGCTTCCTCCGTAACTGCTGCTCTTGTACCTTTCAGATCTTCCTTTTCGCTTCTCTGCCCAGGGCACATGTGTATTCAATATGCCACTACGATTCTGAATGGAAGTTGAATGCGGGGGCGCACCCTTCAGATGGGATTGGGTAATGCCCCAAGATTATTTCCTGAAGTGGCAATACCGGTAGATAATTGGACTTGAAACATGCTCAGCTTTTAGAAAAACTTATCAGAGTGGAAGACAGTGGTTAAAAGCTTAATTCGAAGTATAATAACATGTGACAAGAAAAGCTCACGATCGATATAGGATCGAAGGCTTGTGTCACCAGAATCCATTCGTTCCAGTTCTGAAAATTCGTTAATATAGAGGTCCGTAATCAAGTTTATATAGTGAAATCAAGAATGGAAAAGAGAAGTTCTAGAGAGTGATTGCACTTGAATTCTATGTGGTTTGTTCAAAATAGGCAGTGCCGGTAGTTACTCACAAGAGAAGGATACTCGGTAGCCATACAAGCTGAGATAAATACAGCTGTTAGTGTTTTCAAGCGGTGATCTCAAATCCACCCTCAAAATCTGCTAAACGATTCTTGGAACAAACTTACAGAAAAGTTTGACACAAACAGGAAATGGGGCGGAGGTGGTGTAGTGGCAAATGGCGCACTATTCACATGCATGGTCAGGGGTTCGAATCCCTGATCGATGCCCTCCTAGACCAACCAAGCCTTCCATTCCTCCGGAGTCGGTTAATTGGTACCAGACTCGTCTGGAAGGATAAACGCACTGACTTGTACATCGGCTGGCCACCGCAAGTCATTGTATAGGCCACATACGCACTCATTACGCCACTACGATTCTGAATGGAAGTCGAGTTCGAGGGCGCATCCCTCAGACGGGATTGATTAACGCCAGAAAAAAACTTTATCCTTTTTATCTTTTAATCGTGATCGCTTTTACGGAAAATGCTTTCACGCTTCATACCCACTATCTACGGACTCCTCTCACATCTGAGGAACTCTGCAATGCACTCCAAGAGAATTCTTTTTATGAAGTGTGATTGTGACATGATTGCATATTTTTGCACTTCAGAGAAAGTTGGTTCTATGATTGTAATGCAAGCACCATCTAGGAAGCAACGAAAGGTGATAGAGAGCTGTTTGTCTACACTACGAGATGCCCTGTACGACAATCCTATCCTACGGGCAGTATCCTTCCCTTGTCAGGTGCATCCTAGGAATCGTTGCAATGTCAACTCTTCATTGTGACTCGTGAGGAAATGTGTGATCGAGGGCTCACCCGAGGCATTCTTAAGGATTGCTGATGTTTCCGAGTACCTTGATTCTTCACTCATTCTCTCCGAAGACCTTGCTCATCTGAAATTGGTTGGAATGAAAAACACGACGAAGTCTCGGAAGAAACTCCAGATTAAACGGCGGAGTGTTACGTAATAGGACTTGGCTGCCGAGAGAGAGATGATGTTTACACACAACTAGCAGTTACTTTTGTAGAGATACGTTCATGACTGGTGGCCATAGGAGGCCCAGTGAATTAGCGGTAGCTAAAAAAGAGCAGATAGGAAAGGCAGGAGAGGAAACCGGAGTCAGATGATCTCTTCTATGCTA